GGCTGTTGGGATTTAACTTGATTAACACCTGCACAGAGCATTTCCACCTGCACAGAGCATTTCTTGCTGATTGGCTGTTGGGATTTAACTTGATTAACACCTGCACAGAGCATTTCCATACTGACAGTATGTCTTTATTCAAGTGTTTTGGTAGGTATTTCAAGCTTTTCTGCTCCAGCATTGGAATGCGGGGCATGAACGTTTTTTTTTTTGAAAATCAACAGTTTGCATTATGCAATTAAAAATCCTAACCAATAAAGTAGGGAATAGCTATCCAACTGTTGTTTTAGTTGTATGTTACTTCATATTATAGTTATATCAATGTAAATCATTGTTTTCCCTTGTGTTTCTCATTCTTTCCCTGCCATGTCGTAAAATGTGGTGAACCCATCGCTGTATTTGCTCCAAAGCAAATATTGGCCTTTCTAGTTATCTGTTTTTTTTTATATCAAATGTTTCTTCTGTTCCTGCAATTAGCCCTCGGGCATGAATTTGCAAATAAAACAATTATATTCTCTTGAGATATATTCCTGATACTGCTTTTTATACTGCCATAGACTTCATAGGTTTCTTGGCAATTACATCGATGAAGGTTAGACATCCAGGTAATAAGATACGCCAAAAAATAATTACTCAAGCAACTGGATATGCTTTTGAAAACGGTCAGACGTTTCAGGTAGAATTCACTACCTTTTGTAGGTGACACTAAGAGACTGCAGGCTGTCCTGGCCGGGCAAATTGTGGGAACGAAATGTATAATAGACAACAAAACACAGTTTAAAAAATTGAGCCTTGAGCACTGTTTGTGTATATTTTGTCATATAAGTTGCTTATTTTTCGTTCGGGTAAACAACCCGACTGGGCCCCAGCTTGGTAATCTGACCTAAATATTATGCTGAAATAATAAGAATAAATATCGACGTGTTTAAACATACTCGTTATCCGTTTAATTTTTCCACCAGGACCATCGTACGGCTCCCCATGGTACTCCGTACGTGCCATGTATACCATTTCATTGATCAACAGGTTGGGACGGGGAATCCAGCCGGATGAATGATATGACCGATGCTTCTTACAGAATCCATCAACGTAATCAGGACAACCAGGCAACACTAAGGCGTTTAGCGGTGCACACCCCTGTTCTTCCGCGCCCGTGGCCCGTGGTAGTCCGTGGTAAAAAAAGTGACGAAAGGGTTTTGAGGTTCCAAGTTTGAGGTGACATTTCTCATAAACTGCCGCGAGATATCCTTAAACATTAACATGGCTGAAGAGTGTAAGAAATGGTGACTTTAGGGTGAAAATTTATTTTGGCTCCGAACCTTACTTCCGGGTATCCTTGCGCGCCAAGTGTAATCCACCCGTTTGACCTAGATTTTGCTCTGCGCCTTCCTCGGGGTGGATTTGCAACCCCTCGCGGCGTGGATGGTTTAAAAAATTCAGTACTACAATTTTCTTTATAATTTACTCGGGTATAGTGAAGGTTTGGGTCTATTTGCTTGCATAAGTTATTTCTGCCGGAATTTTTATTCTATGGGATTATCCTACGCAAAAATTCCCGATTTTGTGCATTAATTTTGGAGTGAAAATAATGTTTTTTTCCGTTGATTTTACCAAACTTAAAAAGGTTGAAGAAACCAAACTCAGCTGGACTTGTAGCTGAAGAGATATCCCTTTGTCCCATATACAGTTATTTTCCTTCCGAATTATTCCACGGCAAAGACGGTCGCTAGACTTGAGGGTGTGCAGCTTTGAATAGAAACACCAAATGAACTGGGGTGTGCCACCTAGAAGGTGTCAGCATTACAGAGGGTTATATGAGCCAGACAACTCCTAGGAAAAACAATACTCTTGTTACTCCGTGAAGGACGTCAGGACCTCCGGACGGAGTGTTGTGAAGAGCCGTTTTTTCGTGTTTGCAGTCAAAACACTGGGTTCTCTTTGTGTAAACGTCACGCAATTTTATACGCCGTCTGCGGGCATGCCCGTGATGATGCACGAATGTGTATTTTTGCCGTTGCTGCTTTCGCGGTCAATGTAATATTTCAAATGCACCCCTACAAATTTGAGGCAAATTGAAATGGTCCAGAAAACCCGTTGTTTGGAATAGCGAGGGGGGGGATCCTTCAAGCAGATGTAAGAAGGGGCCGATAAGTGGTACCAGATGTTTCCCCGTGCTTAAGAGATGCTTAAGGTTTTTGGAAGATGTTCGCAGCCGAAACGCATTGTTCTGTACGTAGCATTTCTGTGTAATTGGGCATGTGGTGTACCATTATGTCCGTGATGATGCACGTCTTTTTATTTTCACCGTAGCAGTTTTTATATTGAAGTAAATGCATATTTTAGAAACATCCCTACTTTTACAATCCTGTGGAATAGGCCGTAGGTTCAGGTACTTGTCTGGTAGCATAGGTTCTCTGAACAGATATTAGGTGGCTGTTGTGCATAATGGTGGCGAGTATCTTTTGGGATTTTTTGACCCGGAATGTTTAAAACAACCCAACCCAAACATCAGAAACATAAACTTAAGCATAAAAACAAAAAATGATGTCCCGATGATTGTTAAAATCAAGGTTTCTTTGACAGCACGTCTTGTTATTGGCGATAGTGTTTTTCTCTTATTTTAACTCATACCAATTATTATCATTATCATTATTGCACTGTATTTATAACTTACATTACCTTATTTTATTGTCATTAATCTATACCGTACATTATTTGATTATCCTTATTGTATTATTTCCATTTTCTATTGTATTATTTCCATTTATTGATTACATTTAATTTTGTATAGTTTAGAGGAGGAGGGCCTTGTATAAGCAGTCCATGCTTCTCCCCTCCTCCTGCACCTGTTTTATCTTTGTTTTGTATTATTATTGTCTGTTTTGTTTCTGTGCAAACTAATAAAATCAAATAGAACAGCTTGGACACGTGCGCATGCCCGATTGACCCAGTTACATTTCGTTAGAAACAAGGTTCTGTATATTGTCCCTGACCCTGGTTAGAAAAAAAATCACTTGTTCTATTTACAATTTGTTTACAGACAATTTACCGGGAACTGGGACAAAATAACATCGGACGATGTTTTTTGACCATCACTATCGCGGACGCATGCTTGCTGTCCGGAAATGTGTCATAATATGTTGAATTATTAAGGACATTGTAACGTCTATGGAGACTTGTTTTAACTGGCAACAAAAGCAAGAGGGGTCCTTTACCTCACTAAGGTGAAAATGAGTACCTAGCTTTGGTTAGGGACGTCCCTCGGATATAGGACGTGAAAGGTAATCTCCAAGCAGGTGCCTCTCGGTGGCAAAAAGACAGTATCAAATTGGCCAGGCAGTAAACATTGGCCAGAGAAGGTCGCCAGCCACGGGTAGGGGGGCGGACGGGTATGGTGGTTGGTCGTAGCGACAAAAAAAACCGGCCATATACATGTATAAAAAGGTAACGATCATTCCCCCCCAACCTCTGCTTGGAGGGTAGTGAAAGGGAGGTCCCGTATTTGCAGAGTCACACTACATACGTTATAGAACTCACCATTCCTTTCGAAAAAGACCAGGGGCATGTCCTGGTATGCTATGGTCCAAATAATACTACATGTGTTGGGAAGATGGTGATTTTTTATTTTTTTTATTTCAACATTTCATTACTGGACATGGTGACGGCACACTCAAGTTATGTCAACTTATTTTCAACTTATTTCATACCGTCACCAACGCAGAGAACAAATACGGAACAGGACAATACTCATTTTCACTCGAGTTAAGTGAGCAAAGTCGTGTAAAGTTAGCCTCTACCAATAATAATAATAATGGAAAAATAATAGAAATCGGCCGAAATAAAGGAATAATATACCATGGAAGGTAGCCGGCCAGAGAAGATCCAATTCGCGACCCACGTCGGTCGCTATTTTTCCAGCGATCCGCGGTGCCTGGTAGAGGCTAGTGTAAAGTGCCTTTAAGCTTTTCCAAGGGCACAAGATCAGTGGCATGTCAGGACTCGAACCCGAGACCTCGGCCTCTGGATTCCTCTGATTCACTTCATTCATACACTCCTCTGTTTACATCTTGTGGACTCAACGAAGAATAGTGTATAAATTATGCACTTTAACACACCTAGAGATCAGCACAAGACAAACACACCTGATGATCTTTCTGATGATATTCTGGTACATTTACTTTTAAAAGGTTCTTTTCTCTCAACAATGTTCAATATTCAAATACTACAACATGTACAGGTATTTTTGTTGGAATCAAATCGTTTTTGTAGCATCGTTTATTGATCAATACTGTCAGCATTTATATATATCAGTTTCACTTGTTCATTGATCTATTACTGTATTCAATTTCAATATGTTATCTGTGCTTTGCTTGTCGTATGTATTATGTATTGTCTGGTGGCGACATGAATATGAGTGTAATTTGAGTGTGTCGCCACCGCGTCTTGTCGATACATATTTCAATAGAATCTGCCAATTTTGTAGCTTAAACAAAGTAGAAGACGAAGCAATGAAAGAAATGATCTTTTTAGATATATTACAAGTACGTTTCCATACTTCCAATACTTGCCTAATATTGAAAAATTCATATTTCTTATGCGCTTTGATCATCCTGTATTATACAAACCCATTTCAAATTATATTTTTAACATCACAAAGAAACGAGAAGAAGGCGAAGCTCTATATTAGAGTAGTTTTAGAGCTGTTTGTACTACAAACATGTATATTACCCATTTCATCTGTTCGCTTGTACTTAGCCCGATAGTGCATGGATGTACAATAAAGGTTATTGATTTTATTTTATTTATTAGGCTATCGAGGTCATCTCTACAAAAGCAAGACGTTCTTCAGGACTGTTATATGCCCTAAGAAGGAAAATTCCCCAAAACTTACTGCTCCTGCTGTACATCACCAATACAGGTTATTCTTATCATTAATAAAAAAAAACACACCTGATCTAAGATTCCGACGATGTTGAAGGTGTCCACGACTGAGGAGACCATGAGGTCTGCCACGGCGAGGTTTACGATGAAGATGTTGGAGACGGTGCGGAGGCTGGGCGTGGCGTACACCGCCCCGATGATCAGGCAGTTCCCGAAGGTGCCGCCACAGATCAGCACCACGAGCAGGATGGTGGAGCCCACCTTAACCCCCGTGCCCACATCGTAAGCGTCTTCACCAGGCGGCAGGGCGGTCTGGTCAGCGGGAGGCGTGCTGTTGAGCGCCGCCCGCCACAACGGCAACGTACCGTTCACTGCGTCTGCTAGCGTGCCGTTCATCATGCAACAACACCTGAGCGCACTGGTCGCACTTCTGTTGAACAGGGAGCTGTTAAAGCGTTCCACTCGCAAGTAAGGCCACGCCGACTTAATTTTATGGATGACATCCGCGCGCGCATTGATTTTCGTCCACCGAGGCTCTGGCCTGGCTCTATGCCTGGGTAGCTCATGGTAGTTTGCGACAACACGGAGCTGGGCACCCAGGCTACCGAAGCTCCACGACTCATGAACTCAGTACATACTTACAGTGCCAATTCATCATGCCGCAAAAAGCCAGCATGTGCCAGCTTGTTGTATACGTCGCTAAGTACTGCCACAAATTCATAGTACTAGCTTTGTATTCCTGTGGTTTAGTAACATTTTTTATTTTGGGCCGGAATTTTTTTTATTCGCCCGCGCGCACTAGTTTGGGGGTCTCCAGAGGATGTCATCCATAAAATTAAGACGGCGTGGCCTAATAATACGCAGGTTGACGTTCGGTGGCATCCACCAATGGAGGCTTTCCCCTTGAGTCTCCTGCTGACGCAATCAAATTTTCTAGCCAATAGGACAACTCCATGGCCCGTCTCATCTTGGTAAAAGCGTAAAATATATATAGGACAACTCTATGGCCCTTCTCATCTTGGTAAAAGCGTAAAATAGAACAACTCCATGGCCCGTCTCATCTTGGTAAAAGCGTAAACAAAAGGCAATGCAAAAAAACGGAGACATGCAGAATTGTGAACTTCTGTTGAACAGGGAGCTGTTAAAGCTGTTCACTCGCAAGTAATAACACGTTCGGTGGCATCCACCGATGGAGGCTTTCCCCTTCTGTCTCCTACTGACGCAATTAAATTTTCTAGCCAATAGGACAACTCCATGGCCCGACTCATCTTGGTAAAAGCGTAAAATAGGACAACTCCATGGCCCGTCTTAACCTGACTGAACCTCGCTTTTCGCCGGCTCCCTAGTAGTCCGCCTATGTAGGGAGCCCCCCGGAGCTTGGGTTTCACAGGCTAGGCCCGTCTTATCTTGGTAAAAGCGTAAAATAGAACAACTCTATGGCCCGTCTCATCTTGGTAAAAAGCGTTAAGAAAAAGCAATGCAAAAAAGGAGACATGCAGAAATATGACCGACGTTTTTCTTTGCCAAACTACTAATTTTGATGGACAAGTGGGATTTTGAGGAACAGTGGGTAAGATCAGCATTGAGATCCTGTGCTGAAACATTGTCCAGTTTGATAATTTTCTTTAACCCGTTCTCAGTCCAAATTTGGACACAATTGCCATACGATAGGATTATGAGGGTATTCTTGGGACTGTCGCGACTATGTCGTGTTGAAGTCGGATGTCTTGTGATGGAAACTCTTTATCCTGCCTTAGATCCTTGAGGTTCTGCCATAGCCACGCTAGAAATCCCTACTAAAATCGCACGTTGAATGTAGCTGCGACTTCACAAGCGCATTTGAATATCCAACCTACAGTCGTTCATTGATTTGAAGATTTAATTTGCATAATTAAGAAGGAAATTCTATATTTTAAGTGTTTCAGATAATAGTACTTTTATACTATTTAATCTATGGCAGATGGAACATTAACAGGTATGCAAATGATGACCTAATTTGCATAATTTTTGGGACAATTCTGTGATTTCTTATTGGTGAATGATGGGAATTGAATTTTATACCTTGTGACATGTGTAAGTTACTTAAAGGTTAACATCACTATGCATATATTATGTTAACGTAGAGGTCATTTGCAAAATTAATGAGAACACGTTGAAATGAAGCATTGACAAAGGAGAGGAATTTTACACGCAAGGTATTGTAATTTGAATGAAGTTTGCATAACTTCCAGACGACTTTATGGATTGTGATGATATTTGCAATATTGGCAGGTCGTATGAAGACAAAGGTCAAGGTCAAATATGGGCCTCCTGGTGGCTGACCTTGGTACTGCATCAAGTACGACACCACAGAGTAAACAATGTTCATAATGCTGACCACAAAGCACATTTATCTTTTGCACTTCAAACATTTGCCGCTAGGGGGCAGTCTTTAACAGCTCCTGTACACTGGGAAAAACTACAGACCGTCTCCCGAGGCGATAGAGCCCAAGAACGTTCTTGTATTTTCCTGTAAAGTGGGGGGGGGGGGGCAGAGCGGGACAATATCTCCTCATTATGATTGTGTACTGCTCACAGACTTTTTATCCGATTTAACCTTGTTATTGACATTGTGGATCCCAGGAATGGGATCTAGCGTTGGTCCCTGAAGTACATACATTATCATAAGTTCGACAAACATAGATAAGAAGACACCAATGCAACGCATTGCTTTCAGATATTCTTATTTATTTATTGTTATTTATTTATTCATTTTCCACAAAAAACACTATAAAGGCTTGTACAAGCCCTTCTCCTTAAACACAACAAAACAATCACAATTAAACTGAGTAACTGAAATACTTAAATGAAAACCAAGGCAACTGAAGAGAAAATAGCAACAAATCGTACTTAAGTAACCATTATACAGTTAAAAACAAAATTATTGCAAAACTAGAAAGGTAACATTTGCAAAGCAAATGCATAATGTTTACCTTCGCATGTGGTCTGCTCTCTTAATTCTAACTCAAACACATTACTATATATGGTGACAGGCGTCTCAATTCCTCCTGCGATAAAAATTTGCAACATGATGTAGCCCAACACTAGTTACCATGTGACAGATGTTTGGTTCTTCTATATTCATAAATCATATGTATATGATTGATGTGACCTGTGCTTAG